AGTTTTTCTATTAAAATTGTGAAATGGTGAGATGAGAGAAATAAAGCTACTATCTCACTATTAAAAAAAGAACTTTTGATTTATACTAATTTAAATATTGATTGCGATAAGCATATTATACTTTCAAAGAAATATATTTTTTATAGAGGAAGGGCATAAGAAAGAAAAACGATTTACACTTAAAAAGCATTTTTACTTTTCCTTAAAAAAATACTATATATGTTTGAAGTGTACTATATTTTTTCAGATTTTTTTGAAGATTTCTTAGAAAATGTTGGCAACCCTAGGTTTAGGGGCCCTATAGTAGCGGCGTGTGCAAAGAAATTGTATTTCCCTTTTAAGAGTTATCAAATCAAACTTATAAATATCTACATATAAAATTTCAAAACTTTAAATAACAAGAAAAACATTATTTGCCTTTAAACTAATAATATAATTATAATAATATAATATAATAAAAAGTATCAAAGTTTCATATCGTAAAATTTAGAAAAAAAGTATCAAAAATGATGCAATTGTATCAAAACGGCAACGCTAGTTAAAACTCCTCCAGTTAAGCAGGTAAGAAATTTAGTACTATTTGTATTCTTAACTTTGTCTTTAGAATGAAGTAAATAATCAGTTGTATGAAGCTATATGTTAAAGTGAGCCTATTTCGATGATTTTCGGAATTAGCTAAGGAAATATTAAAAAATAGCCATGTGCAAAATTTTAGTAAAATAACTTCCAAACTGAGGGAGTTATTTATAAAATAGTTAAATTTTATCAAATTTTCAAGTACCGTTATCTCGAAAACCGAAGCCAATCTGGTACAACGGGGAATGCCATTGAATTTAGAACATCCCAATTAAGTGAGTTCAACTTTCAGAATCTTTGCTCAAATATACAACTTGCACAGCGTATCTATGTAGTTTGAACCCAACTTGTTCTTTTGTTTTCTATTTCAGCGATCTAAATATTTATTCCTCGTCTAACTTTTGAAGCACTTGATGAAAATGAATTACACCTATATTTATCTAAATATTTATGCAATATAATAGATTTTTATATCCGCAATATACAAATTTCGGCTCTGGACTTCGTACTTTCAGACTGGCCTGCCCAGCACGATATCCAGCGCAACAACTGCAATAAATATACATATACTATACATAACGGCCCGTCTCCACAGGCAAAAGTTTTTGCCTACCAACTGTCATTTTTATTGCCTGATAAAAATTTTATCAGCGGCAATATTTGTGCGTGGGCATTTTTTATCATGATAAAAGCATTTATAAGATGGCAATTTTTGCCGGATTTCATCAAATTAAAAAGTTTAAAAAATATGCTATTTCACACCCAAGCAAATAATAACACATATTTTAATAGAAAACAGTTCAATTTTTGCTTTTATATTGAAATATCGATAATGTTGTCTCCACGAAGCTATCGCGCAAATGAAAATGTAGCTGTCAAAGTACCAAATTGCTGGCAATATTTATCAAGATAAAAGCTTTGATAATTATTGCTTACCAAGAGCAATATGCGGTCTCCATGGGCAAAATTTTGCCTGATAACATTATCAAGATAAAAACTTTTGCCTGTGGAGACAGCAAGTAAGTAAAAAAAATAAAACTTCTAAGCATTGCCGCAGAAATTTTAAATATAATGACAGTTTGTAAGATTTGAAAATTTATTGTTATTTGCTAAAGAA